GTTGTGGTGGTGGGGGTGGTGGTGGGGGGGGTTGGGGAGCTCTGTGAGGGATGGGCCCGTGCTGCGGACCAGGGAGCACGGAATCCTCGCCAAACAGGGCTGCTGCTGCTGCTGCTGCTGCTGCTGTTTGGTGCTGCTGCTGCTGCTGCTGCTGCTGCTGGTGCTGTAGGTGGGGGTGCCGCGTCTGGTGGTGTTTTTGAACAAAATGGACATGGTGGAGGACATGGAGTTGGTGGAGTTGGTGGAGCTCGAGGTGAGCTCAGGCGGAGTTGAAGTTGAGAGTCCCGCGGAAGCAACAAGCTGCTGCTGCTGCTGCTGCTGCTGCTGCTGCTGCTGCTGCTGCTGCTGCTGCAGGTGCGGGAGCTGCTGTCGCTGTACGGCTACGAGGGCGAGAAGACGCCCTTCATCCGAGGCTCCGCCCTGAAGGCCCTCGAGGGGGACTCCGGCGAGTTCGGAGTCCCTGCGGTCATGAAGCTGCTGGAGGTCACTTTGCTGCTGCTGCTGCTGCTGCTGCTGCTGCTGCTGCTGCTGCTGCTCTTCTCCGTTTGCTGCTGCTGCTCTTTTCCCTCCTTTGCTGTTATGCTGCGCACCCGCGCACTCCCCGCTTTCGCCGCTCCTTGCTGCGCCTTTCGCTGCTCTTTCCGCCAACGTGCTTTTCCTGCTGCTGCTGCTGCTGCTGCTGCTGCTGCTGCACCGCCGCTGCTGCTGCTGCTGCTGCAGCTGTCTGGCGGCGATTTTTCTGGGGTTTGTTTCTTTTGCATTCCCACTTATTTATTACTAACTAAAAAAATAGCTAAATAAATAAATAAATGAATAATTAGTTTATTTATTTATTTACTTATTTATTTATTTATTTATTTATTTTTTGTTTAGGCTTGTGATGAATACATTCCCGAGCCCGAACGGAAATGCTCCCTCCCGGTGATTTTGCCCATCGACCAGGTCCTCTCCATTCCAGGTCTCTCTTCACTTCTCCACTTTTCAATCTTTTTAATCTTTTCAACTTTTTTAATCTTTTTAATCTTTTTAATCTTTTTAATCTTTTTAATCTTTTTAATCTTTTTAATCTTTTTAATCTTTTTAATCTTTTTAATCTTTTTTTAATCTTTTTTAATCTCTTTAATCTGTTTTAATCCTTTTAATCTGTTTTAATTCCTTTTAATCTTTTTTTAATCTTCTTTTTATCTTTTATTATCTTTTATTATCTTTTATTATCTCTTTTTCGTCTTTTGTAGTCTCTCGTTTGCCTCTTTTTTGTCTCTTTTTGTCTTCTTCAAGTCCCGGCGTTTGTCCCCTTTTAATCCTCCCTTTACATCCTTTTTGTCTCTTTTAATTCCACTTTTGTCTCCTTTTAATTCCACTTTTGTCTCCTTTTAATTCCACTTTTGTCTCCTTTTAATTCCACTTTTG